TCTCGTGTCGTCGACGGTGCACCTCTTTGACGAAGTTGCCAATTTCATTCCAAAAAGTTTTCGCAAAATTTCTCGAATTTTCGACTAATCGCACAGACAGTGGCGCCATTCGCGCGTGCCTAACGGATATCTACGTTCATGTAACTTCTATTAAACGTATACGGGCGAGTTAAATCGTACCGCGCCGCCGCCATTGCCAATGTTCGAAAAATTCTTCCGCACGAAGTTTTCACTCCCCCCCTCTTTCCCACGCGTTTCGGGCGGAGTGCACGCCGAGTCTTTCTCTCTCTCGCACCCATCCTCCTCGACACACACACACAAGCAGCCGCAGACATGACACACGCACAGGCACATTCGTTCAAACATAACCTCTAATTGATGTACATACAAAGTATCCGAATGATGTTAATTTTTATTCTCTCTTTTTGAAATTCATGTTGCATACACACGTGTGTGAATTTAGTGGTGGGAATCGCGACACTTCCCTCTCAGCTACCAACGAATATAATCAAAAATTCTCTCGCCACGAAATGTCCAAATTTCATTAATTAGATAAATTCCTCCTAGTAAAAATTTCGAGCGCGCTTCATCGGGGACGCTCGATCTTTAAAATTTCTTTTCGACGCGTAAAGTTGTCAGATTTCGTGATTCAACGATAGCAGTGGTTCTCATGCCGTCGGGGAAATTTGAGAAAACGTCAAATTTCGAGTTTTAGCGATAAGTTATGATTCCGCGCCGCATCGAAAGTTGAGAACCACTGACGTAATTTTAAAAATTTTTTTTTTTTTTTAATTTTATTTTTTACAGTCGATTATCCCTGATAGAGCGTCCCCCGGTGCCAACAAAGAGAAACAACGAGCCTACGAATACCGATAAGTAACCCCTAAAAATGTCAATTTTGAGTTTCGAATCGATCGAGTTCAACAAACCTAATCTACTAGAATCACAAGCGTCGCCGCAGAATTTCTACGAAATCGAAGGCTGAATTTTGCTCCTTGGCCCCCCTCCGCCCCCTGTTCGAGAAACGGGGCCCCCGGAGTTCGTCGTACGCCCCTGGCGCGCGTCGGTGCCGAATAAAGCGGCCGCTCAAGGTCACCGACGAATCGTAAACCAGGACAGTCCGACGCGACACGTAGCGAACGTACTTGAAAGATTCTTAACCTTCGGGCGGGGGGGGGGGAGGAGCAGGCAACGAATTCTCGAGAAATTTCTTAAAACAACATTCTTATTAATAACTTTCCAATCACAAAGGCGATTTGATTCCCATCACTGTACGAATTAATACCGTGTACATGTGTACGTGTACATGTGTACGTGTAAGTGTGCAACCTATACAGTATAATAATATCGTATATATAAAACGCTCCAAATAGAAATAATATTTACCGATTAGTTAATCGAAACGCGTGCGGGGGCAAAAACTACCCAAAATTTTGTATTTCCTCCGCGAATTTCTTTTTTCCATTCCTCGCGTATCTATCGTTTTTTTTTTTTTTTTATCGATTTTAAAACGTACAACAATAATTCAGTCTAATACATTCCGAAAGCACCAATTAGTCAATAGTTTCGTTTCCGATATGGCCGAGTCCGCGTGCTCGGCCGCCATTTTTTTCCCCACGACAAAACCCTGCAAAACGCCCAAGTAATCCAATTCGCACGCCTGAAAAAAAAGGAGCCGTTTCCGCCTAATTTTTCACACCGAGTTCTCTCGCGTTAACAATTAATTTCGAATTATTTTTACAATTAACGTGTATAGTATGTATATAGATGCTAGTAGAAGATACAAGACGCATTTTCGTGTGCTTTTTTTCATGTTCTTCGAAACGTGTGTACGCTGTGTGTGTAACAGTGTCGTGGCCGATCGGGGGGAACCCGAATTCGATGAACTTGACGAGATCGGTGACTTTTCTTTGCGTTCCACTCTCGACAGAGGTATCTAATTATCGTTCGGATATTAGATCATGAATTCAAATATAATCTGTGTCAGTATTTCCCTTCGTTAAGGCGACAATTATTTTCTTTTCTCTAAATAATTGTTGTAATTTTTTTGAATTAATGCTCGTGCAAATAATGACTAAACAAAATTATTGGATGGTGAATGAGAACTACTGTTTCTCGACCGATCCCACGAATCTGTTTGCCTCTCTTTCTCTCTCTCTCTTTCTCTCTCTGTGTATGTGTATGTGTGTGTGTTGGTTTGAGTACGTGTGTGCGCGTACGTGCATTTGCGAGTGCTGCAAGTACAAAGTTTGTGTGTGTGTGTGTGTGTTTTAGTAGTAGTAATAGCAGCAGTAACAGTAGCAGTAATAGTAATAATAGGAGTAACAGTAGTAGTAGTAGTAAGTCGACCGGGTGCACATCCGACGAGGGCAGGTCCTAAAGTGACAAACAACGACGCATATCTTTTCTCCTGGTTGGGAAAAACCGAGGGGACAATTTGTACAATTATCGGTATTATAATATAGTAAATTCCTGACTTACTCCCTCTCCCTCCCTCCCCCACACTCCCGCTGTACTCCCACTCCTCTCGTCCATTCTCTCACACTCTCTCTCTCTCTCTCTCTCTCTCAGCATTATCTGTTTCGTTTAGATTATTAGATTTATCGTTTCCTCAGACTTATTCGTATATATGCCTAGCAGCGACGATTAACTTCTAATATTTATTTTACGTTGTTTATAGTAAAATCAACGCCGAGTGTATCGTCGATTAAAAATTTTGTACGTTTTATATTCACGAACGTCGTAGTACTTTGGTGTGCTAGTGGTGGGCAGCCCCGAAAATTTTGTCAGCTCTTGTTAATTACTGTTAATTACTAACGGAACAAAAACTTAATTACGATAATATTTGCGATTCATTTTTCCTCTCTTTTTCATTTAAATACATTCCGCGTAGCTTATTGCTGTTTCGCCAACTCGATAATTGCACGTTTCGAGCGAATCTCGAAGGTTTTAAAAAAGTAGAAATATAATAAATAATAAATTTTGATGCACCTGGCTAATATAGTTAATTCTCTGAACGTGCTAAAAATGTTTGCTGAGAAAGACTCTCGAATTTTTAATAAAATTGCGACGGTAAGAAAAGGGCCAGTCCTCGCGAAGGACTTAAAATTGCTCGAAGGGTGGCGCCATCTACACTAGCCGCCATTTTTTCACCCCACGGTGCGTGTCACCGACTGGGGCAAATGTCCAGCAATCGATTATCGCGCGATGAAAATTCTCAGGGTTCCTTTACAAACGTTATGTACAATTCAATTTTCAAAAGAAAAAAAAAATAATAAGAGAGAACAACAGCAAAAAACAACCGTGCCGTTCGCGTGTAACCGAAAAAAATAACATGTAAACTGCTATAACAAAGTATAATCATTTAACTTTATTTATAATAATCTTCAGCGTATAAGCTTCCTCCGTTTTCGTTTTTTTACTTTTCTTTTTTTTCTACAGCTTCCAATAAATTAAACGACCTCCATCTTGATTAATAACAAGAACCTTCGTCTCAATCACACACACTCGCTTTCTCTATCGCTCTCGCAGGGCCGACGTTGCCTCCAATAAGAAAATACCGTTTCAACCGTCGGTTCGGCTGATTACAAACGCAGACCGTGTTTATAATTGTTTTTCCTCTTATTTGTAAGGTCAACGAGAGAGGTGACTGCGTTCACGGTGACCTAATCTGACCCACGTGACCTAATTTGATACGTGATTGGTATTATTCCTTAAATAAATATTCGATTGCAAAAATTAATCGAATGAAATTACGAATAAAAGCTCAAAATCAAATCGAATCGAATGAAATTCATTCTGCCTCGAGTAAAATAGTCGAATAAACGTTGCGAATAAATTGAAACCATTCAAGAACAACGAATAACCTTTCTCATAACCTTCCTCGAATAAATCGATGAATGAAACCATTATTCGTCGCTCTCGAATAAATAATCGAATAAACGTTGCGAATAAATTGAAATCATTCAAGAACAACGAATAACCTTTCTCATAACCTTCCTCGAATAAATCGATGAATGAAATCATTATTCGTCGCTCTCGAATAAATAATCGAATAAACGTTGCGAATAAATTGAAATCATTCAAGAACAACGAATAACCTTTCTCATAACCTTTCTCGAATAAATCGATGAATGAAATCGTTATTCGTCGCTCTCGAATAAACGAAGACGTCTTATTCGTTACTCACGAATAAACACGTCGATACTTTATTCGTTATTCAAGAATAAATCTGTGACGTTTTGTTCGGTTATTCGCAAATCAAGCTTTGCTGACAGCTCTGTATAACAATCGAACGCGATTAATGGAATTTTCGTACCTCGTTATTCGTCACCGTGAACGCGAATAAATTGCGTCGAATAATTGTCTATGTACACACAGGCAAAGGAGACACCTAGGAGAAACGGACAGATCAGGGTACCCCGAGCGGACAAACAGACAGACAAGAGAGATCGTGGCACGATCGCGCGTCTACGGTACCGTTAACCCCTCGCGGTCGTACGTCGAGCGTGGCTCGACATCAGTGGGGCGTCAGAATATCTGGACCACAAAGGATTAAACAACATGCGTGGCGCGTGTGACTTTTATGTTCGGCGTGTGTGTATGTGTGTGTACGCGTGTATGTGTGCGTGTGTGCTTGTGTGTCTGATTGTATGCAACGTGTGGCTCGACACGTTTTAAAGGAGTATTATAGTTGTTCCTTAAAAAAACACAGAAACTCGAGTTGGCAGTATCATGAACAAATCGCTCGCTCTACCTCGTCGAATGGCAAATTCGAAATCGAGCGAGCGCGCAAGTGTGTGTATATAATAATATATTTTTTATCTGTTATTTTTTTTCCATTTTCTTTCCGCTTCTCTTTTACGCATCGTTTTGTTGGTTTTGTCTTCCGTTTTGTTTCTTTTCGTCCTCTTCGGTTCATCCTTGACATCTCTGTGTCGTCTGCGCACGCGCGTGGTAGTGTCTTCGTTTCTTCATCTTCTTCTTTTTTCCTCTTCCCTATTTTGTATAATAATCGTCCTTTTTTTTTCTCTTTTTCTTTTTTTTTTCAGCGGTTAGCGTCGAATGGGCGCGGGGAAATAAACGGCTACGACATTTAAGACAATGAGAAAATCGACGTCAACGGTTAACGCCATTGGCAGTGATCGTAGAATTACGTGTTTTCCTTTTTTTTTTCCCTCCGTTTTTGTTTATTTTATTTCTTTTCTTTTGTCTGTGTTCCGTGACTTTGCATGTCGCGTTGTGTTTGTGTTTGTGTGTCTGTCCGTGTACGGTTTCTCCCTCCCTCGCTTTGCCATCCATTTTGCTCCCTCCTTTCACTCCCCACCCCCACTCTTCTCTCTCGCTCTCTCTCTCTCTTTCTCACACACACATACGCACGTTTCTTTTGCTTTCATTCTGTCGTTCCCTCGCCGAGTAACGTATGACCGGTTTTTCATTTGTCGAAGTATGCGGTTCACCTTGATTCCTGAGCGTCTCGACGTGAAACCTGCAGAACGCGATTGTGGGGGGGACGGGGGCGAGGGGACTTGCTCCAGGCGGTTCAAGTTTCGCGCCATTTCGCTTTTTCAACGGCCATTGCTCGCGTATCGGTGGTGGTATAGATCGGCCTTGTGCTTGGAATAATATTCGAATAAGATACGACTAGAAATCGTCGAAATTATTCGTTATTCGCGAACAAATCTTGGTGAATTACTCGTTATTCGCAAATAAATCGTCGAAATTACTCGTTATTCATGAAGAAACACCGTTGAATTATTCGTTATTCGCGAATTAACCTCGCCGACTTATTCGTTTCGCGAATAAATCCTTGAAACTATTCGTAATTTACGAATAAACCTTGGTGAATTACTCGTTATTCGCAAATAAATCGTCGAAATTACTCGTTATTCATGAAGAAACACCGTTGAATTATTCGTTATTCGCGAATAAATCTCGCCGAATTATTACAAATAAATATACCATATTAACGTGAAACAGGTCCTTAGAGCAAACAAAGAAAGCACCCCACCTAAAATTCTTGCCCCAAAATGAAAAGACTACTTCACATTTTTTCATTTAAAATTGTTATTTAAATACGAGTCTCGTCTCTGTCCGTCCAACTGAGCAATTACTCGATGTTACTGCCAATCTTTACCCCAACGTTCTGACCAATCTCTGCACAACCCAAGCTGTGGGTCATCAGGTAAAAAAGGGGAGACGTTGCCTATGACCCACGTGCCGGGTTACGAGCAAAACTAGCGAGATAGATAGCGTTTACCTAAAGTGAATCGAAAGGAAGTTTAACGTCGAACCTTACTCGTTACGAATTTTAGAGTCCAAAGCTACTTCAGTTGTGTATACAATAGGCAATGTCGTCACAGTGTGTGTGTCTTCGATATATTTCTTTGCTCCTCCTCTTGTATTCCCTTTTTCATTCACTCTCTCCCCTTTTTCACGGTTTCTCTTGCAAAAACGACGATGCCTGAAAGCACTCGATATGGAAGATGTAAGAATGCGTGGCACAACAATGAGGAGTAAAGGTGCGTGCAAAATGGTTTATCTGCGTAGTCGCTCTTCAGGTATCCCCCTGTCTCGACGTGTTGCCAACTAGCCAGAGATTCTCTTCAGTCGGACACACGACGTTCAGAACTGACAATTTCAGGACTTTGGTTAAAAACCAAATTGTGCCTTGGTTGTTTCACGGTAGATATCCTCTACTTTGCTGGTTCTTTATATAATTGTGCAATTATTTTAAATGAAACTTTGTCCATCTTTGCTCGAATCCCATGAAAAGTTGAAACACTGCGTTGAAGGATTACCTTACGGTTACCAGCAGCCACCCAAGACTTTGTCCACCGGTCTATTTAGAAACAATCTACAACTCAGAAGAGTATCTATCGGTACATATTGATTATTAACTATTAACTTCTGCTAGGTGTATCAAAAGCCTCGTCTCCTCAAATTACACACTGTAAATAGACAACGATGGAATTAGGAAGCCTCAAACAGCCATCCGATGGACAAAGTGTTGATATACCAGCCAGTGGACACCGTTGAGCATACATTTACAAGAACTTTTCTAATTATTCTCAGATGGTGGCCAGAAATATTCTCCAAGAGAGTCGAATCTCTCTTGGAGACCTTAGCCCAGATCCCTGTCAGCAACGCCTCGAGACAGTTCCTGGTACGATCTTCTCGTCGAGTCTGAAGATGATGACGGTGATGAGATATTTCTTCGTTTCTCGTCTCAGGTTGTCTCTCCGCCGTGTAGCTCTGCTCCGTGCTTCTTGCAACGTTCTTTTGGTGGTGTTCTGGCGTACACTCTGCGGTGTGGCAGTGTCAGCCTTGCGGCGTTTTACCTAGAGTACAGTTCTCTTATCGTTTTATCATTTAGTCGTCTGCCACGTCACTCCGAGGCGTCGAAGGTCTTCTAAAATGACTGTTCCTTGAGAAACGTCTGCAGGCGTTAGTCGATCCCTGGAGCAATGCTTCGGTCCTTGACCAAAGATGAATCTACTAAGAGTTCAAGTCCTTGCGAGTTTAAGTCCTTATCTTTCTGTGCCTATCGAGGCATCCTGTCCGCACTGCTCCAGAGGTCGATGTCGCTTGCTTTAGCTTCGTTTAACAGGTATAACGTTACAATAGTAGAACACGATACGTGTGTGTATATATATATATATATACACACATATATACGGTGTTTCTAGTCGGCCTAGGCGATGGTAGTTCTTATACGTGGAACTGACGCTCTTATCTGACTGTCCGCTTTGCTATCTCGACTTTCCACCCTTCTGTTACGTTAATCTTATCGTTTTCTTTTGCTTAAAACCTGCGTTTGGAGTCTACTACGGAATACAATTGCGTACAATCAGTTAATAGCATAGAGTTACAGTGTTACAACATCCAGAATCTTAGTGTATCATGCTCTGTGTGAGTGTGTGCCAGAATCGGGCTACGATTATTGACGCTCTGACCACCCAGCGATCACCACGGGTGGATTGCGGTTTAGCCAACGCAACGTTTAGGAGTGTGTACATAGTTTGAGTGTGTGTAAGAGCGTGGTTTGTTATTCTCAGGTGGTGTTACGAGTCTCTATCTAAGAGGGCGACCCAGCTGTCGGGTATCCGGAGTTCTCAGCCTCCAAGCCACCTTTTGTTTTTAATGCTAGCATATTACACAGGGTCTAGGCGAGTCTCAGAGTCCCTAGCGAATAGTCCTCCTGATTCCTCTGCTTCCAACCCCAAAACGTTCCCTCCACATCCTTAGCAACCCTGTTCCGTGTTTCTCCTTTGAAAAGATCTTTGTTTGTAACCCTCACGCATCCAGTTCTCGTGAATTTCTCGTTCCCCCTGTCCCAGCTCGGTTATCATTCACTCTATCTCTCCCCCTCCCTCTCTAATCTCTCTAAATAATTAACCCCACGTTCCCTCTCATTCTCTCTCATTCTCTCTCCGCACAGATTTACGATATTTTACTTGATTTTGTTGATTTTTTTTTTCTTCTTTATATTAAAAAATTAAAACGGACGGTTAAATTTCATGGTTTCGTTTTGTCGGTGAGCCGATGTCCGCTGCTGAAGGCACAAGGCTTTGCACTTGAACTCGGTCACCTAGCCTAGCTTCGCTGACTTACTACGACCTACTACCAACTAGCCTCGCTTACTTACTTTACTTACTTCCTACGTTTCTACTACGTTATTCCCACGTTTCCTCTATCCTCGTTTCCAGCCGTTCCTCAAATGCCAAGCCTAGTCCTCGACCCAACCTCTGATCCACGACACCCTTCAAAGACCATCGATTCCTCCATCCCATTCTAACTCGCTCCTCTTTCTCGTATAAACAATGTACATGCTAGCAATATATTATTATGCTATGTGTGTGATATAGACTCTATGGTATCGTTATGTATAATCGTATCATTTGTTATTCTTCTTTTTGTTTGTTACTTCGCACTCGATTGCCGGGTCGCTGCTCAACAGCTGGCCCCAGACCATCACCTACCAAACTCGGTGATCACCCTACCGTCAATTGCACGCATACACAATCATTCTCTCTTTCTCTCACGCTCCCTGACTCTCTTAGATTCTTAATCTTCCCGTGCGCCTTAGCCTGAACCTTACGCGTTATACATTAGACATTTACATATCGATTCCGGGGGTAGCCAGGTAGAGGATATAGTAATAACATAACTGTAGGTAGCTCCTTATTACAGTCTCTGTACTGTCTCTACGTATCACAGCCTGGGTGCCTCGCCACTGCCTTCGTAACCTTTCGTAATCTCTGCTCCGAAGAGCTCGTCTCGCCTCCTCGAGGCTCTCGGACGCAGAAGAGAACCTGGACGAAGAGCCTCGAGGCTCGGGACGACCTGGGCTTGCCCCTGGGGCGAGGCAGTGGCATGGTGGTGCACTAGTACAAGGTGTATCGCGCACGCCGTTTTCTCACGTCCACGTTTGCTTCGTCGTCCGTTGCCGCGCTCCAGCGTCGTCTTCGGACGTCGCAGGGGACTATAAACACTGTTAGCCGATCGGCGCAGGCGCCGGTGACCGGCTACGGGGGAACTAGGGCGTCACGTCCCAGATCTCCGCGAGGAATAGTGGCAGCTTTTTGTTCTTGAACTTCAGACTGAAGCACATCTCGCTGTTCTGGTTACCGAGGGTCCGCAGCTCCGTCAATACCGACAACAACTTCGCGAACACCGTCCCGGACTTTGGCCTGCGACGATTGTCCACGTACGCCCTCAACGCCTCCAGGTAGATCTCCTGGATCTTCTCCACTTTCCAGCCTTCCAGGAGGTTTGGTCGCTCTGAAACCAGACATTCAAATTAGTAAGAAGCTGAAGAATGCTAGGAAAGTTGAGAGTCTCTTTAACGAGGTCTCAAAGTGGAGAGAAATTGACTGCAACGCTCGGGACAACCTTTTATTTGTAAAACAAAAAGTTTTGAAGAGAGTTTTAAGGATTCGCTAACAATACCAATTGGTTTGGTCGCTCTAAAACCAGAGAGTGAAATGAATACATGCTAAGAAGGCGAAGAGTCTCTTTAAAAAGGTCTCAAAGTGGAGAGAAATTGACTGCGGAGCTCGAAACAAGATTTCATTTCTGTTGCACTGAACAGGAAGTTTTGAAAGGAGTTTTTACACTGTAGTGTACACTTTCCTCCACAAGGATTCTCTAAGTATACCAATTGATTTGGTCACTCTAAAACTAGAAATTGACATAAATGTGGAGAGAAATTGACTGCGAGGCTTCAAACCTTTTATTTGCGTTGAACAAAAAGTTTTGAAGAGAGTTTTAAGGATTCACTAACTATATCAATTGGTTTAATCGCTCTAAAATTAGAATAAGGTCTCAACGTAAAGAGACCACAATATAATATCCAAGGGAATCCCAACTCTGCCCTCTGAAGAGCACAGCATTGGATGCAATGCTTAAAGTGACTTCTGCGTGCCAAATTTCAATCTAACCAAGAAAAATGCTACAAACAGCTTCAGCTGGCTTGCCATTTCTCAGTTACAGACTACATAAAGTCATTCAGTCTTGGTTTAACATTATTTCTCAAAATAATATCCAGACCTAATCTAACTTTGCCTTTTGGAATAATTCCTACTCTCCAGCTGACCTGCCTGAGTTACAGATTAAACGTTTTTTGTAAATAGGAATATTATTCCTATATTATATTTAATTTTATATTATTATATTATTATATTATATATTAATATTAATCGCTAATATATAATATTAATTAATATAATAATATAATATTATTAAATAGGAATATTTTTCTAATAAATTTCCTACGTAGGAGTTTTTAACAGTCTGGTATTTGGTTCTCTGCGTACCTGAGAATATGACAATGGCAGTTAATAACGCATACTCTGCATTGTTGACTTTCATGGCATACATCTGCCTGCAGAAGTGCAGGAGATCTTCAATCGTCTCGCCCATGCCTGCCACATTATAGCTGTCCCTGGTGTACGGCTGGTTATTGGCGAATATTATGCTGTCTGTTTGTACGTCGTACTTCCTCGCCATCCGGAGCATCATCACCTCGCTGGAGCAGGCCTTCAAAAGGGCTATCTGATCCTCTCGCAGGAGCTCATCAAAGCCAGGTAACCTTTTGGAGAACTCGACGATTAACTGCACGGTCAGGATAGTGATTTCTGTTAAATGCCTGAACTTGTAATCGCTGATGTCCTCTCCCTCTGATGGCTGATGCTGAAGAAGAAATTTATCTCTTATTAGCACACTTTTCATTCAGAATCATCCAATGTAAGTTTAGTTTCATTCAGATATCAGTCATTTTCAATGATTATTTTCCAATGGAGGCTAAGTTTTCAAACACTTACTGTGATCCTTTTGAGATCCTCTTCACTGGGTTGCTCGTACTCGTTTTGAAAATAAACGAGCCTGTGTATCAGCTCCTCCTGTTCAGGGCTGATGGGTTTCACATAGCCGAAAGGGCTGACGGGTGTTAGAATACCACTGCTCCCAGACGTGGACAAGGATTCAGCTTCCGCTGGTTCAATCTTCACACCCATTTGGTCGCTGCGTATCACGCTGCCTGGTGAACCATTCATCGTTGTACTGTTCGGTTTGTCCTTTTCCTGCAATGGTACAGGAAGCTTGATAACTGAAGCGTACAACAATAGAATAGTTTACAATCTTTGTATGTAGTGCTTCGAACAATCAAAATCTTAGGATTCATGAGTTAATCCTTTTTTTTGTGAATTCTCTAAGACTTGTTATATGAAATATTGTCCATCAATGGCTCTAACCGACTCACATGTTAATTGCCATATATACTTAAGTGGATACTCGTCTGTGTGGATCTAGGACACCACCTGTGTCACTTTCAATACACATACAGCTCCTAATTATCACCATTTGTATAAGAATTGTACTTGTTTTGGTTCTGAGGTAGTGGTGTCTTTCAAGTTACAAGATTATCCCCACCAATCCCTGGAATTGCAGACCCCAAGAGAACTAATTAAACAAGAGTGAGCATTGTGGTTAAGAAAAGGGGCACAGATGGTGCTGGTTAAGGACACCAGTGAATATTACAAACTCTTTTTACACCTCTCTACAAAGATTCCTTTGAAGAACATTAATTAATTTAAGCTTAGATAGCTTGGTTAGAAGAAGAGATGCTAGATGGCGCCTAAGTGTAGAGCTGGTGTCAAAATAGGACCTTTTGGAGATGCAATAAATTTACAAATTAAAAAGAAATAGGTGAATGATAGTCTTAAAAAATTAGAATTCTAAAGACCTCTGACTAGTAGGGAGTAATATAGACTAAAGTTATTGAATTTATACCAAAAGTAAGGTTTGATACTAAAAGTACCGAGGTCACCCATATTCATTATACATTCAACCATATCTATGTAATTGCAGAAAAAAGGAACAAACAGGCTATTAGAATTCTAAAGACCTCTGACTAGTAGGGAGTAATATAGACTAAAGTTATCGAATTTATACCAAAAGTAAGGTTTGATACTAAAAGTACAAAGGTTACCTATATTCATTATACATTCAACTGTATCTTTGTAATTGCAGAAAAAAGGAGCAAACTGGCTATTCAATCACACTAATTTTCTGTTACAATTATCATAATTGTCATAAAATTCTAGGAAAAGCATTGGTAAAATACAAATTCATAACTTTATACGCATATTCGAAAAAAAGAAACTCAAAGTACCGTCTTCTAAATGTTGTACAGTGCGTAATATTTTACATATCAATGCAATTGTTCGCATCTTTTAATCTTTCCATATACAGTCAGTGTGAGAAGTATTCGTACAGCAACCAATTTAAAATAAATGGTTCCTATACGAATACTTATTACACTGACTGTATTTACACTAGTCATAAATGCACAGTTAACAACTTTTGTAAGAAGTTTGGAGTATATGATACAAATAGACCAGCTCAGTAGTTTTACTGCTAACTGCTTCATCTACCAATATATCAAGTAAATGCTAAAAGGAGCACAAAAGTAATATCTACACCAATATACTCATTTTACAGAGAATATTAGCTACGCTTTAACAGTTTACAACTACAAATGACCCTATCCTAACTCCATCTTGCTACTTTAACTTTATCAACAGTTACATATTATTATAACAGTTAAATAATCAGCTTCGTTATTCCTAAAGTAATATTTACACCAATATACTCATTTTACAGAGAATATTAGCTACGCTTTAACAGTTTACAACTATAATTGACCCTATCCTAACTCCATCTTGCTACTTTAACTTTATCAACAGTTACATATTATTATACCAGTTAAATAATTAGCTTTCTTATTCCCAAAGGTGTCCATCGACCACTTAACTTGAACATAAAGGTGTTTGTACTGTGAACTTGCCGATACAACCATGTAGAAATTAGTTGTACGTAAGGGGGCTTGTTTGTAACAAACAAGGGGGTAATCTATATGTATCGTTGGACTCTACCTTCTGCGCTTTCTTCTCCTTGCGCTTGACAGCACATTGATACTCTGGCACAACGCACTCAGGCCTCATGCCAACGGTCAGACACTTCTTCAGCCTACACTCCTGGCACTTGCGCCGCATGTACATGTCGATCTCGCAATTGTTCCCGTATTTACACTGATAGACCGCATTCTTGGTGATGCTGCGCCTGAAGAATCCCTTGCAGCCTTCACAGGTCAGGGCGTTGTAGTGGTACCCGGAGGCACGGTCCCCGCAGACCAGGCACAGCTCTTCCTGCTGCCTAGGCGTGGGCCCTTTCTTCTTCCTGGCGTCGCAGCCGTCGGTGCCGCCGCCTCCTCCGCCTCCACCACCCCCGCTTCCATAACCGTTCAAAGACCCAGGCTGCGACAACTCGTCCCTACCTGCGAACAGACAATTTAAGAAACTGTTAGACGCCTGAATCCTCCCAAACACCTCGTCTGTCGACTCTATTACACGGGAAGTCCCCAGTTGGGGCCCAATTTCTGGGACCACCCCGCATTTCTCCGTTGTTGCAAACGATAGGGAAAAATTGTTTAGACAAAAACTGTCGAGTTTCTAGGGGACAATATTAACATATGCGCGGAAAGTATATCAAGGTCATATTTTTGAAAAATTCAAGGTCACTAATATTTTTTTAAAGTAGAATGGGTATTTTCAATATTGTATGCTTGTGACTGATGAAAAGACGAATTTAAAGGGATATAATAAGGTGACCTTCGGGTGACCTTGAGAGGAGTTATCGTTAAAAAATCAGGGCGGGCAGAATCTGGAGTATCTCTGTTGTTTTTAATGATACAGAAAAATTGTTCGGATAAAAAACTGCAAGGTTTCGAGGTGGCAATTTTACCACGTGCGTTAAAAATATATCGAGGTGATATTTTTGAAAAATTCAAGGTCATCAATGATCTTTTTTTAACCGGATGAGTTATTTTTATTATTGCAGTATTGTGTCTGATAAAAAGACGAATTCAAACGTGTACAATAGGTCGACCTTGTGATGACCTCGAGAGAAGCTACACGTGGCCAAAAATGGAAAAGGAAAAAACAATTAAATAATTTTAATAATCTCGCTCATTTTCATACGTATCAACTTATATTCAATTATATTCAGTTAATGTAACTTATATTCAGTTGTCAAATTGTATAAAATAAATGTTAATAATTTCTCAAATTGTTTGCTTAGATCAGTTTTAATTCGTGGTAACGAAAACGTTTTCTCGGAATTTCTGAGGCCGTTTTCTCCTGGAACTTTCCATCGAGAAAGATTTTGCCGAAGATGACGCACCGCGATGTTCCCCCGCCCACGAAAAGCGAAGGTACTTTCCCGACGATTCCGCGAAGAGCTATAGAATGGATTCCTTGGATCATCAAGAAATACTGATCACCGTGAAAACATCCACCTGGAACACTGAGACACTGACCGTGCTAGGTGGTCACTCGGTTATTCCCCTTCTGCCTCGTCCAGGATTGCCAACCTCTTCGGATACCTTCATTATCTTCATTAACAAATCTCGCAATATCTCCACTCAATTTTACAGAATTTTCGTCTCGATTGGCGAATTAATTTTACTTTAGTATGTTTCCTTATATTGTTCATTTCCATTTGTTTATTCCCATTTGTTTATTCCCATTAAAATTATTGTTCTCTCTTCGTGTTCTCTTATGATATTACTACGGAATTTTAGTAGCAGTGGAAAATGGGCTTAAAAGTATTTTTTTAAGTAATATTTTATACAGTAAAGTATTTCGCCCTAGGGAATTTCTCTAAGAATTCAAGTACGATTAATTTAATTTCGCCCTGTATATAATTCTCCTAACGATTTTTAAAATTGAAAAAGAATCAATGATAATAAAAAAAAAGAAAAGAAAAAAAAACTAAAACTCTAAACAAAGTGTTCAGAAGAGAAACTAAAACCTGATAAATCAGTGGGCACGACTTCATGCAACGGCTCGGCATCGATGCCATAACGAGTTTGTGTATATATTGGTAAGTGGCACATAATGATTGTATATAGAGCTGAACGGACAGCCTTCTCGTTGCTGTATCTCAGACAGGTTTCCTTACTGCAGGGGAATCTGATAATTCAACGCCACGTGCACACAGATTATGGCACCTTCCAATGTTCTTCCAGAGTTATTATCCGTTATAACATTTTTCCAATTTATCCAATTTATCCAATTTCGATTATTCTCCGTGCACCTTCGTTTTGAGAGCATTTCTCTGTCTAAGAGTCGCGGGGCCACCCCCCACCAATCAGGACTCAGACAATATAACCCGCTCCAACCTTAATCGGCTCATTATTATGTATTATACAGGGTGTCCTAAAAATATTGCAGGTCATTGAAAGGGGTG